TCTGGAGGGTTTGTAGCTGCCAAAGTACTTCCAAGTAGTGGAGAACTTCATGTTAGATACTCTCTTTGGCCTTGAATGGAGGGAGCATTTGACAGAGTTGCTGGTCCCAGGTGTGTTTGCAAGTGTCCCTGGTGAAAAATTTGGAGGAAAACTGTGTTGGCTGACTGGGGAAGAGGCTGTTTTACCTGTACATCAACACAAAAGAGTTGTATTGATGTGCAGGTCTTTCCAAGGCAGTATTGTATGCCTTGACAGGAAGGCACTAACCATCTCCCACCTGCGACAAGTGAGGCACTTGTAGCTTGGCACTGCAGCGGGAGGTGACTTTAGGATACTCGGGGAGTGACATGGGGATGGGAAGTTCAGCCATGGCTGACTTGAAGTGTCATGCCAGAATGTGTCTGCATCTATTTCTGAGCTCCCTGAGACTTTTTGCTGCTGATAGAGATGGATTTTTGCCTTTGGGAACCCAAGGGTGTGCATTGTACACATAATTGGCCTGAACTGAACTAGAAGAAAACGCTGATGTGTTCCTTCTCTCCTGCAAGTGATGTATTTTATAAGCTGCCTCATGGACCACTTGTGACTGAACATAAGAACAGGAAAGGGAAAAGGGGGGAGGTAAGAGGTGTCGCTTATGGACGGAAATGCCTCTGTTTACATGTTTGCCATGTGCAATTAATACCATAATTCCTCTCCCATTCATAGAAAAAAATATAATCCCGGTCATCTAAATCCGTGGATTAGCATTTTCTCTGCTGCATATGTCTGTTGATCAGCAGGTCGCTTCTCAAATATGATAGCAAGGAATGCAATATTAAAAAGACTTAACAGCAGCTGTTCCTGTCATTAACTGTGCTGGTTCCAGCAGCTCCTAAACTGAGCAGATTGAGTAGAGGTGATGGTCAAGGCTGGGAGATTGGTGCTCAAAGGTCGGGCAGGGGGAGGTCTATGGAGTTCAACCCCCGGGTTAATTGCTCTATGGTTCCTAAGCCTGATAGTGAGCTGTCGGCCCCGCACTGAGCACATAGTGTTCGCTCTGGAGATTAGGGTGAAAATATGTTCTTGCTAAAGAGAACGCATAAACAACCTATGAACGGCCCATTAACCTACAGAATTGCAATAAAGAACATGTGGCAAAGCAAGCCAGAGGAGACCTGTGACCCAGCAAATGCCTTAATTGGATTTTGAACCTTATCATCTGCACTAAATGCAACTAATAGGAAATTAGCAAAAAAAAAAGAAGATAAGAAAAGAAGGGTAATGTATGATGCACGTCTAGGTTTGGTGGGAGAATTTCTGCAGTTTCTCTTGTGATGCAGTTCAGTGATCAAAGGGTTGCAGATGGTTGTGGAATTACAGAACCATAGAAATTACAGGATGGTTTGATTTGGAAAGGACCTTAAGGATCATTTCGTTCCAAATCCCTGCTATGGGCAGGGACACCTTCCACTAGATCAGTTTGTTCCAAACCCCATCCAATCAGGCCTTGAACACTTTCAGGGATGGAGCATTCACAGCTTCCTTGGGCAACCTGTGCCAGTGTCTCACCCCCCTCACAGTAGCAAATTTCTTACTTGTATCTAACCTGAATCTCCTCTCTGTCAGATTGAACCCATTACCCCATGTCCTATCACTGCAGTCCCTGATGATGAGTCCTCTCCAGCATCATGTTATGATTATCATATGATATCATATGATAATCATATGACAATATGAATTATCTTATTATGAGATTGGTTATCAGGGTCCCACTCTCATGTGAGAAAACCTCTTCAAGATGACTGAAAAGAGATAATTTTCCTGTCGGCTGCAGCCAGTGAGCTATGCAGTCACTTGCCTTATTGTTCAGTCGACGTACCAGCCACTTGCTGTGCTCCATATGGCTTTTTGAAGCGATAAGACGTAAATTTATGTCACTGCTTTCCTAGCTGTGATATTTAAATTCAGTTCAGAATATAAAAGTATGTTGAGAGTTGCTAGTGCAGACTGAGGGAAAAGGTGGTGGAACATGCCCATTAAGTGTACTCTACCAGCAGGTCTTGGTCTTCATGTGGAGGATGGCAGCAGAGTTCAGATACCATCAGCTGTAGTCATCCATCTTAAATTCCCCAGGCTCTTTCCACTGCTGTGAATCCACCAGATGGCTGAAGAGGGGCAACCCTTGATGGTGGTGGTCTTCAGCTGAATTCAAAGCAATTTAAGAGAAATCAGACCTTTTCTCCTTCCACTCGGGTTAGATGGTTCAGCACAAGCAGTTGATTGGGGTTACCTGTGTAAAGATGATCTTAAGTGCTAATTGCATTTTTAGAATAGGATAATAGTAATTATTTAGACTAATATTTGGTTTAACCATGTTTTGGATGCAGGTTTTTAGTCCAAATTTCTTTTATAATTGGAAGGACAGTTTTCATGCATAAGGTTATGTGTTTGCAGATCTATTTTGGGAGTGTCGTGCAAAGTGCATCTGTTACATCCAGGCCAGATAATCAAATACTCATGCACCTCAGAGATTCTGAGAAATATATCTGGAAAAAAAAAATCTATAAGAGCTAGTGGTTATATAGTATATGTAAGTATATAAACTTAGAAGGCTGTAAGTAAATATATGTGTATATATAAGAGAGGGTTAATGTCTAAATTTCTATGACTGGATGCCTGTAAATTCAGTTTAACAATATTTTTCTCTCCTGTTAGGAGCACATCAATAGCAAGCTTTTCTTCTTTTTTGTGGGAAGTTATGGGCTTTCTCAAAGGAAGGACTGATGGGAGGTAGCCAGTGGGGAATGTTACTGGATGATGTGAGACGTGTGGCTTACACACGGTAGTGGCAGAGGCACAGACCACTTGGTTGGTGTTGGAAAGCTGCTGTAGCACATGTTCTGAAACAATTGTGGTTGAGGTAACCATGATGACAAAATGGTACCCTTGAAATTATGAGCTTGGGCGGGGAGTGGTGGGATATGCTCACCATGATGTACATGCAGACCAGCATTGGTATGTGGTCCCTCAGTGGCTTGCAGCTGTGCATACATGATGGTAGTGTTGGAAAACACAAACAGATACAACTAGCTGGCAGGTAGGGAGGCTGGACTGCTGTGCTCTGTCCTAAGGGGTAGTCAAAGCTTTCAGAAATTTTCTTAATGGGATCTGTGATGAAAGGCAATCCTGCTGAGGGCTTTGTGACAGGGGAAAGGAGGAGCTTGTAAATGTTCCTGCTCCTGTTGAAGTGCAAGAAGGAAATTACTTTCAGCCCATTTAGCAGGACATGCAGTACTCTGAGGACCTGCTCATTGGTTGCCTTCTCTGTTGCTGGGTTGTGATGTTAAAGAAGGGACATGTGGCTCCTCTATAAACATTTAAAGCCAAAAGACTGGTGGGTGCTCAGGTGCCCAACAACTTGTACTCTGGATACCATCCCTGGAGGTGTTCAAGGCCAGGTTGGATAGGGCTTGGAGCAACCTGGTCTAGTGGAAGGTGTTCCTGCTCATGGCAGAGGGTCGAAACTAGATGAGGTTTAAGGTCCCTTCCAACCCCAACCAGTCTGTGATCCTGGCCTGAGTGCCACAGTGGTTTTCAGATGTGTGGCTTTGTGTGTTGTTATCCCTTCAACCTGAGCTGCAGAGCCAGGATGGGGAAAGTTCTTGGATGCCTCGGGAACTACAAGGGCGCTTATGACTGCAAATAGACTTACAGTAGAAATGTGGTTTATATTATGAAAGCATCATCACCCTAACCGATGAAGAACTGCATTTGCATCAACCTTTGCTGAATAATTTAAGAGGAAAGCTATGAAAGTTTCTTAAAAAAATCCAAAAGTGGAGGAAAGGGCATGTTTCTTACTGGTCCCTTTCTTCACATTACAAATGGAGACTTTGTTTACCCTGGAAAAATCAATAGTGATTGGACACCTGGTGTCATTAATTATTTTGCAACAGACAGGCAGCTGATCTTTTGAAAAGAAAGGAGTTTTTAGCAGAACTGTTCAAAGTTCATAGTCTGCTGTTTAACTCTAATGCTAATAAACATTCAGCTTAAAGGATGTCTGTCTTAAAATTCCACATGGTCACACCTTTGCTTTAAGATGATAGGATCAGAAAAAAAAACCTGTAAAAACCTGTAGACCCCAGAAGTCCTCCATCAGAGTGACTCTTGGGGCATGAGCTCCAGTTGCCTTTGGGAGATGCTCTTAGGTCTTGGAATGTGGACAGGGATGTTTTTGGGGGTTTAATTCGAATCAATGCATGTGATTCACCCCTGGAAGGGGTTTCTGCTAATTTTTCTTGGGCTAATAGTGCAAATGAACTTTGGTTGCACGGTTGTGTTGAACACAGTTTCTTTTACCTAAACAGGCAGTCTTTTCCCAATAGGAAGGGTTGTTTTCTTGCAGTGCATTGGTGCCTGACTAAATGCATTGGGTCGCATTCTTCATGTATAGATGAGACAACCTTTCTGTTAAATATTCCCATGTTCTCCAGTGGTAGCTCTGGGGAGGTCACAGCCTGCCTTGCAGGCCAATGGGTGCCCAGATCCTTGTTGGCAGGGAGGAGGAAGCCAGCTATGGGATGCTGTCACAAGCAAGCCCCAAAATAGCTTGGCTGAAACTGGTTTTACGTCGTATAAAAAAGAGGGTGAAGGATCTCAGAGACTCAGAGTATGCAAGGTCCTTGGGCACGCACCATAGAGCATATTGGTTTTGAGCTTGATAGTGCTTTTTTTACAAGGGTTGCAAATTGCTGTTAACATAGTTAAGGACTGTAGGAAGAGGCAAGTTTTCCTGAACTTTACTCCCAGCTGGAAGTTTTAAGAATTGAAGTGAGAGGCAAGGAAGGGGAAGAGGGGGAGGTAACCATACCCTCCGTCTGCAACGCCTAGGATGTCAAATGGAAAAGACAGCCTGGAGAAACAGTTGAATGGCTTTGGGGAGAAGGGGAAAGAAAGGAGCCGCACATCCCTGGTCATCTCTCAGGCCGTTAATCGCAGTATTTTCACCTCTGCAGTCTCCCCCGCTGCCGAACGCATCCGCTTCATCCTTGGAGAGGAAGATGACAGCCCAGCACCTCCACAGCTCTTCACGGAGCTGGATGAGCTTCTGGCCATCGATGGGCAAGAGATGGAGTGGAAGGAGACTGCAAGGTGGGTTACTTTTCCTTTACCCTGAAAGGGAAGTGCACCTACAAAGGACCGTGTGGGAAATTCCTTTCTTACATTCCACTGGGGCATTACCTGTGCTTGGGGAATCCACTGCAAGGAGCCTGCGTACCTTTCTTTGATGAAGGAGAGAATTCAGGGGGTTGTTTAAATATTCCTTTAACACAAAAAAATAGACTGCCAGTGCTCAAAGAGAGGACATTTAGATTAAACATTAGGAAGAAATTCTTCCCTATGAGGGTGGTGGGGCCCTGGCACAGGCTGCCCAGAGAAGCTGTGGCTGCCCCATCCCTGGCAGTGTTCAAGGCCAGGCTCGACTGGGCTTGGAGCAATCTGGTCTAGTGGAAGGTGTCCCTGCCCACGGCAGGGGGTTGGAACTGGATGAGTTTTAAGATCCCTTCCAACCCAAACCAGTCTACAATTTACTTGAATAGTTTGCTTCTGGAGAGCAGACATACGGACTTGTTTGTGCTTTGCAAAGAATGGCAGTGTCTTGGCCAGAGTTGTCAGAAATCTGTGCCTGACCAAAGCATCTGCACGTGTGTCTAAGGTACTTTAGCAGATTCGCGCCTGATCCCACCACACACCACCAGTTGGGAAATTTTAACTGTCTCTCTCCTAGCAAGTTACCCATTAAATTCATTTTAAATAGGCAAAAACCCGTAAGGTGTTTTTTTTCTTTTAAGTAACTTATTCAGCGTGTCTGTTAATTCTGGATTGGGTTACCTGCTTTGAGTTTCTTGGTTAGGTTTTCTGCCTGTTTGATGGTGCTCTTGATTTGGTCAAAAACATGTGGCAAAAACGAGGCATGTTGGGTTTTTTTATCTGGCTGCCGCAAGTCACATGTAGTTTGTTTCTAACTGTAGTATTTCACCCAGCCAGAGAGCAGTCCAGGCTCTACCTCCCCTCTTCCCAGTCACCCTCACTTAACTGGGGGCTTTTTCGTTTCCTTTCTTGTGGCTGGGCTAAGCTGTTTCCCCACCTCCCAGTCTTAAGAGCACCTTAAGCATGAGAACTGTGCTCATCATTAGCCCATGTTGTTTGGTCACCTTAATCTTCTTTACGTGTGATGTAATGAGCTGCCCCACCACCTACCTGTTTGCCCCCTTATCTTTATTTTTACTTCTCAGTCACTTTGAGAACCTATTTAAAGGCTTTTCACCTTTTAGATTCTTGCTTGTTGGTCATCCTTTTCTGCCTTTATTGCTTTTCTTCCCTCTTGCTATTAGTTTGATACTTGTATTTTGTCATCCGTACTGCCCAGCTCTGCTTTTATACCAAATGATGCTTTCCTCTGTCCCTGTGTATTAAACCCCTATGGGAAGAGGTTTTAATGACACGTTGTTAAAGCTTTTCACAATTCAGACCTTAGTGTGGTGTTTCTTAATGAGCCATCCCTTCAGTCTCTCCTTTATAGTAAGAATGTTGGGAAACTCTGTTTTCCATAAGTCCACAAATGTCAGCCATTGGAAGAAAGATGCCCTGTGTCTTGCGTGTAAGGTCACAAAGCTCTGCTATGTCTTGATCAAGAGCCCTCGCTCTTACATCCAAAGGACCTTACAGTGGGATATACCTGCACTCCTCCTACTGTCAGGTGGCTGTAGGTAAAAGGGGAGATTTCCTTCTTCTCTAGTGAATGATTTCTGTTTTTATGTGCTTCCATATGTCTTTGGTGGAAGTGGTAGATGGACCTATGCATATAATTTTCTTGCTTTAAGGGTACATGTGTGCAGTACATGATATGAGCACCTTGCTGAGGTGCAATTCCTACACTTGGACCAACCTCCCGGCTTGCATCCTGTTTGCTGATAGTGATCTTGCATGGTGTATGATTGCTCAGGATTTCTCAGTATCTTCCTGAAATGACTGTATCTTGCTGAAGAGCCTTCTGTAAGCTATTGAGCAGGTCCTGCTGCCAGATGTACCGGGGCAGGGGAGCTCGCTGCAGCCCTTGAATCCAAGACTTGGGGGAGCATGGAAGCTGTCAGGAAAGAGTGTTTGTATTAAAAGGGTTTAGCAAATGATGCTATCCATTGCAGAGCTGTTTGGGTCAGTAGAAAAATAACTGATGCATGTCATGGAAAGTTTCTAGCCAGAACCTTAAAGATACTGATTAAAAGGTGTTTCCAGAGGGGACCTTGAGTTGCAGATCCTTGCTCTTGATTCATTGCCAATCATGGTCCTTGATCCATCTGAGTTTAGCTGTCTGTGTTACAACTGCCATATAAATAGGGTGGAGTTGCCTGTCTGTGCACGGTGACATTTCTGGTGGTAGGTACGATCAGCCCATGGCCGGGGCTCAAGGATGTTCTGTTCCTTTGTGTAGTCCTGTTGCCTCTTAGCTCATCATGGTGTTGGGCCGTGGTTCACAATAAAGGGCTGTCTTGGAGGAATATACTCAGTGTACACTAGGTTTCACAGCAAATCCCAGTCAACACATCAGAAACAGAGCAGTAAAAGGGAAGGTTTATTGACGTTGAAAGGTAACCTGAAGATTTAGGGTTGCTGAGTGCTCCTTGTTTGTTTTGTTGGTGCTCATAATCAATATATCTGGTGAGAATGGATAAGTTCTTGCACTAACGTGAATGTTTGCATCTCAGTGATAGTTACAGGCTGCTGAGTGAGGCAGGAAAAGACCTGAAGCAGCTGGAGTCCACCAGTCTGATTTGAGGTTCAGTACAGTACACCTGAGGACCTAGATGTGCCCGCCATAATGTGGGGAATGTAATTTTTGAGAGATCATGAGATTACAGTGAAGAGAAAGGAAAGGTCTGTGGGATGGTGGATCATCAGAGGGTGGGAGCACCTCTTCTGTGAAGGCAGGCTAAGAGAGCTGGGCTCATTCAGCCTGGAGAAGAAAAGGCTCCAGAAAGATGTTAGAGCAGCTTCCAGTGCCTAAAGGGGCTACAGGAAACCTGGAGAGGAGCTTTTGACAAGGGTCTGTAGAGACAGGACAAAGGAAATGGCTTTAAACTCACAGGGGAGATTTAGATTGGATATAAAGAAGGAATTCTCCCCTGTGAGGGTGGTGAGGCACTGGCACAGATTGCCCAGAGAAGCTGTGGCTGCCCCATCCTTGGCAGTGTTCAAGGCCAGGTTGGACGGGGCTTGGAGCAACCTTGTCTAGTGGAAGGGGTCCCTCAGGGGACTGAAACTTTGAGATTTAAGATCCCTTCCAACAGAAACCACTCTGTGATTCTATGATTCTGTGATGCTGTTTTTTTCGTATATAAGCTCTATCAGGCATTGCATTTATATCCTTTGCCCTTTGACACATAATATTAGCAAACCTTTTACACATTATAATAGTATCACGCCTTTTAGGCAATACTTTCTGAAGATTTACAAATAAAACTAAGATTCCTCCTGCCTCTGGGTTAGCAGAGACACTAGCTGTCTTCTCAGAATGGACACCAATTGTACCATCGGCTCCTTGACATGCATTTATTCTGATTATTCAGGGTGTTATTCTGGAGGAAACCCAAGTGTATTTGAGGCAGATATTTCTCCCAAGCCTTGGTGATGCTGATCAGTACCTGAAGCCATAAGAGCCTTGCTAGAGCCATCAGCATCATTTCCAGGCCCCAGAGGCATAGTAAAACATGCGTATTTTAAGTCATACCTTCCTGCTTCTCTCATGTGGTCACAGGAGTGTTTACCAGCTGTTGAAGTACAGCTGGCAGGCAGGAGGAGCATGGAGATGTCAAGCACAGAGCAGGGTAAAGATGAGGAAGGTAGTTTGATGGTTTGTTTTCTCAAATAACAGAGGAGATAATCTTTTGCCCTGACACGGTGCATTGCTGCTGGGCTGCAGATAGGGTTGCCTGCAACTCTTGGGAAATCAGGCTGAGAGCTGTGCAAGTCTATATTCACATCCTCAGAGGAACTGCTGACTTGGCAAAGTTCCACTTGTGTGAGAGCTGTTCTGCAGGAGCAGATTTAACAGAAATGATCCATGAAGACCGAGGCATTGTGTTAAACATAGGAAAGCCACACGGACAGCTTTGCTGAGCTGAGCACTCCCGTTGGTTTGCACAGGAGATGGGGCACACCAGGGCTGCAGAGGGGACTTAGGAACCTAAAGGTGCCTCAGGGTGTTTGGAAAACTCCTTGCTGGAGAGGATTTCCCATGGGCATGGAGGATCTTGAATGCTCCCAGGGAAAAGAGGTAGTGTAGGGACTGCAGCTGTAGCCCAGGCAGGTTTGCAAGCTCACATGTGGTTTATTGTGTTTGTGTTGGGGATTACAGTGAGAAAAACAAACAGAAGGCAAATATTGATAGTTGTGATAGACTTTCACTGACAATACAAATGCTTGCTAATTTGCAGCCTTTATGCTGTTGTGGGGTGCCTGCATCTTGGTCACACTAAATATATAGGTCTTTGAAATGCTTGACTTTGCAGCTGCCGAGGTCCCAGGGCTGTCCTAGGAAATACCTCAGTTTGGTGAACTACATAGAACCTTACAAATCTGAGATTAAATTCAGTCTTTCAGATTGAGTTAAAAAATGCCTTTAAAAAAAAAAATAGTTCTCAAAAAGAGATTATTGCAGTTGAAAAGTGTAATTGATTAATCTTCAAGTAGTACATGTTTCAGGATTAAATACAGTGTCATTTGCTGTCAATAATATTCTTTGGAAGCAATTCATAAGCTTCCTTGCCTTTACCTGTGTGCTTTTTGTTCTTAATAATCCCTTTAATATTAGTCATGGGAATTTTCATTTCCCACATACATTGAAATAACATCTCAACACTGGCACGAGCCAGGTGAAATCATGGAATCCCAGACTGGTTTGGGTTGGAAGGGACCTCAAATCTCATCCAGTTCCAACCTCCTGCCATGGGCACCTTCCACTAGACCAGGTTGCTCAAAGCTCCATCCAGCCTGGCCTTGAACACTGCCAGGGATGGGGCAGCCACAGCTTCTCTGGGTAACCACTGCCAGTGTGACTTCTCCATCCTGGAGCATTCCCATGCAGCCCATGCAGGTCAAGGGCAGAGTCAAGGCTGGAGGTAGAGGTAGGCTGCAGCCTGTAGGCAAGTGACACCTCCTGCTTGCCTGCTGTTAGGACATGCTTTTAGGGATGTAAAGAGTATTTTGCACAGAACAGGATTTAACCTTTGGTTTAATCTTCAACTAGAGATGAGGTTTCTGATTTGTTTTTTTTTTTTCCATACCTACTTTGTTAAATCATTAAACAACAGCCAGGGAGCAGAGGGAAAGAAGAAGCCCCTTCATTTTGTGTCCTTTCCTGTGGTGGTTCAGTTGTTCTGCTGAGAACATCTTCAGATTTGGCCAGGGTGGGCTCCCCTTCTCTGCTGTGATGCTAAGATTTTCTTGTCTGTATTTGAATACACAAATATAAGTCACCTTGTCATTACTTTATTATTACCTAGGATATCTAGTCTAGGTCATGCTTTGCTGAGAAAGGCTGGACCAGATGATCCTTGGAGGATTCTATGTTCTATGAATTATTTCTAGAAATTGCCAGTATTCCCCCCTACCACTGTTTTTGTGGAGCTGTGTTGCTCAGCTCTTCTCTCTGGAGATTATCCAAGCGTGAGTGTAGTTACCCACCTTTCTCTCCACCGGGGCTGGCAAAGCAGTGGCTGTGTTGTCATGGTGGGTTTGATGCAATGTCAGGTTAGGGACTGGGGAGGAAATTACCAGGTCTCCACTGCATTGCTGAAGCTGCCTGTGAACCCTTGGCTGGAGCAGACATCAACTGAAGGGTAGTAGCTCAAGTCTTGATGAAAGCTACTAAAGATAACACGTTTTACCTCCTGTTTGCCATTGTTTACAAGCTCAGCTGACACATACCAATCCATTAAGCCTTTGCAACTTGGTCATGGATATGTGGGAAAACATGTGTGTTGAACTTGTCCACATACCACAATCATCTTGCTTCTTTCAGACATATGTGTCTGCGTGGAGCTAAGAGCTCTAACACTCGTTGCTCTGCCCTCTTGTAGGTGGATCAAGTTTGAGGAGAAGGTAGAACAAGGTGGGGAGCGATGGAGCAAACCTCATGTGGCCACCTTGTCCCTGCACAGCTTGTTTGAGTTACGGACATGTATAGAGAAAGGCTCGATAATGCTGGATATGGAGGCTTCTTCTCTCCCACAGGTGGTGGGTAAGTAAAGCTGCCTTGGCTCTTTTTCTCAGCTCTTACCTACAAGTTTCTGTTAACCCTGATGATGATTTCAGTGATGGTTTTAATAAAAAAGCACTGCTTTTTTAGTAAAAGAGGAAAAATAAATAATCCTCCAAGGAATAACAGGCACAACTAGAAATGACCTGGAGAAGAATAACAGATAAATGAAAAGAGTTATTTTCCATCCAGAAGAAGAGTAAGTCAGTTCCAGTGCTAACCAGTGCTTACTTTGAACTGCTTTTTAGTGATTCTGTAGAATCATTTGGATCCTGAAGTAGGTATCCTAAGATCTCACTAGGTGTGTATGAAAGCAATAGCACACATTGACTGAATTTATGTTCAGTATCAGAAACCTATCATGTGGAAGGCCACCACTCTCAGGACAGGGATATCAGGGCAACTGCAGTTTCAGCCACGTGGTCAGCTCATAGGCTGCTCTGGATGAGGTTCCAGGGTGGTGGTCCACTGGAGGCTCTGAGATGGGGTACTCTCTCCAGCGAAGGAGGATGATGAGCAGCTACAGTACCTGCTGCTGCTTCACCCTGCTGAATGGGATGGCAGCTTTTTTGCAGTCAAAAGAGCCATGTCCTGGGCTGACATTTGGTGACATTGCTGAGAGCTGTTCCATGTTCCTGCTGATGTGCAAGAAGACATATGGAAATGTATTTTAAAAATGAGTTATCCAGTGGAGGTACATATGACCAAAACACTGAATTTGGAAACCATTGTGTGAAGAGGTGTAGAAAACAAAATGAAATAAACCACTCACAAAACTTAGTGCTTTGAATTCTAATCTCAGGAAGCAGGCTCAAAAGGGTCAAAAGGGTCTTAGCATGAAATTACGCAGTATCAGGTGTTGTACTAGTTTGTAAGGCTTGGAATTACAAAAGCTGCCTCTGATGTTATCTGTGGGGCTTTGAGCTTAGTTCTGTAGGTGCTTCTGGTGGCATTGACCTTCCTTTATTTGTGTGCCTGTGTATCTACATGCATAGTGGTGCAAAGATTAGACATAGAAGAAAACTCCACCCCCAAAAACTGCTCCTTTTGAAGCGCATTCAGCTTCAGCATAAAACTTCAGATGATGTCAGTGGTCCAGAACTTTACCCCTCAAACATTAAATTCCTTTTTGAAGTAACTTTGAGGTGTCACCTTCAATATCCTTCTTCAACACTCAAATCTAATTTTTAGGTGATCCCAGTGGCTGCTGTTGCTGTAACACTGTCCTGAGTGAGGTAGTTTTAGTGGGCCAGATCCTTAATCAGACAGATGGGGATCTTCAGGAAGCCTGCAGACTTTGTTTCCAGAATTATTTAGTCATCATCGCTTGGTTGATATCCTGTAGTGACATGCAGGAAAGAAAAACTCTAAGAGCTCTCTTTGTTGATTTGTGTTCTATCAGAAGCATGGAAGGGAAGAAATGGTTGCTGGATGGAGAGAGATAAACTGGGTGAAGAAAGACATGTCCTTCTGAAGGAAGTATTCCAAAATCACTAATAAAAACAGCTTACAGAAAATTGTCACTTTACAGAACCTTTTGCCAAACATTTTGTGTAATGATATCTACATGCATATAATCATGCTTCTCCGAGTCTGGGTGAAAGAATTAGGCTTTCCCCCACTGTGATCTGAAGAGGCATTAATTCTTGGGCAGCACGTAGAGGATGGCATCCTGACTCACTGAGGAGGCAAATGTGATGCATGCTCTGCCTCCCCTTCCCTGTAACTTTTATTATTAGCACAAATAAAAGTTACCAGTAGACAAATCAGAGCTGCCACTTGCCCTTGAGGGACAGCAAGTCAACTGAAGTAATCAAGGGAACAACTTAATGTGAGATTTAGTGCACGATAGAGATTCTTAATAAATCTGGCTACCTTTTTTTTTGTTTCTCCATTGGGATAGGGGAGCAGAAAGGAGAGAATTGATGGGAAGTGAACGGGTTTGCAGTGGCCTGGAAGCCTTTTTCTCTGGTGATTCAGTTCAAGGCAAAGGCACATAATGCATCCTGTGACAATTGGAGCAAGTTCTGCCTTTTGTACTTGCCATCATTTTACTTCAGTTTTGAGAGTGAGTGATTTAATTAGTTCCTCATGTCTAGGACTTGTTCCTGTCATTAGATTAGGTTTTATTGGGGGCCTGTGAGGTGAACTGAGCCTTGTTGAATCCAGTAGAAGTTTCACCATGTTATTTTTGGGAGCCTACTGAAACTTGCAATGTAGTTGTGGCTTCTTCACAAAAGAACACAGGGTCAGAGGAGTTTCCCTTTTTTAACCATGAACCATCTTATCCTGGGTACAGGTGATTTCAGATAGGCTCAGTGGTGTGTATGAAAAGAGGGGCGTCTCAGTGCAATAGGTCCATAGAATCGTAGAATCGTAGGATGGTTTGGGTTGTTTCATGGAAGGGACCTTAAAGCTCATCTAGTTCCAACCCCCTGCCACAGGCAGGGACAGCTTCCACTAGACCAGGTTGCCCAAGGTCCCATCCAGCCTGAGCTCGAACACTGCCAGGGATGGAGCATGATGGTGGCTGATGGGTTGTGCTGGATGGAAATGTTCATGTTCCATTTCAAAAGAAATGTTTGGAAGAGATTCCCATTAAAAACAAAATGTCAAAACCTGGTGTTGGTTTTGAGATGCGAAGGAAAGTCTTCAATAAGATAGGATTTAAATGATCCCTCTCTCTCCTGCTGCACACCCTTGATGCGTCAAGTTCTGTGCTTTGTGATTAATTATCCTCTCCCTTACTTGCAACAGAAATGATCGTTGACAATCAGATCGAGACGGGGCTTTTGAAATCAGAACTGAAGGACAAAGTCACCTACACGCTGCTCAGGAAGCACCGGCACCAGACCAAGAAATCCAACCTGCGCTCTCTGGCTGACATCGGGAAGACCGTCTCCAGTGCAAGTAGGATGTTTTCCAACCCCGATAATGGTAATGCAGAGGCTACCTGGCTATGGCCTTCCCTTTCAAAGCAACCCACCAAACCTGCCTGCCAACGACTAACCACATTGCCTTGACAACGCTTTTCTAACGTAGTGAGACCCATGCTGACGGCATGTCAGTGGTGGGCTCTGGAAGGCTGCTTTGGCTGTGGCACGTTGCTCTAACCCTATCTTCACTGGACTGAGAGGAAGAGGAGGGGATGTGGCAGGCAGGAGGCACAGGAAAAGACAGATGCTCTGTCAGCTGATACATAGGAGATGGTGTAGGAACAATAATAGGAAAGAGAGATTTACAAATAACTCCAACCATGCCTTGAACCTAAAAGACCAATCATCTGAAATGTTTGGGTAGAGATGAAGCTCTCATGTGTGCTCGATTTCCGTAACACATTGTGTCAATGGCCCTCTTAATCAAAAATTAGGTGACAGTATCATCTAGCTTGCACTTTATTGCCATACAGTTGTTGTCCAGTGTGGGTAAAGCTGATTTCCATCTTGCTTCATTCATCCTAATATTATTTTGTGGTGTATGTTGTGAATATATGTCTCTTTTTTCCTAAAAACACCGTAATAGGTAGTGTCATGTTTGTAGTGGTGCCTTGAAATGTGTGTGTGTGTATGCAGACAGCTATAGAGGCCTTGGCAGTGGCTCTGGACTTAACCACGTATCGAGATTTGCAGCCTTCTTACTTGTGGCAGTCCAAACAGAGGAGGTTTAAGCCTACTGTCATATCTTAGAGTTCTGTCACCTGCCTCCTGCTGGAGTCTGGGAATTTCTCTACAAGTTGCCATTTTAAAATAAATGAAGAAAAGAAATTGAAGTAAGCAAAGAAATTGCTTTCCTATTGCTACATGTAAGGCCTCTTAGCTTCCTGTGTTCTGCTTCTAAAACTTGCCCTAACATTTTCCCTAACCTGTTATCATACTCTATCAGTATTTCCTACTTTAATCATCCTTTGCTTTTGCGTCAGGTGTGTATGTGCATGTGAAGAATATTTATTGCTCTTGATGTCATGTATGAGTGCCTCAATAATACAGTGATTAAGTGAATAACACAAAGACCAAATAACATGAATCAAGGAAATGTCCTCAGTCATATCGGGACTGGGCACCCAGCAAGTAATTTGTGTTTGTTTTCAGTCAGGATTAAGAAACCACGTTCTTTCCAGCACATGCTTTGGGTCTTTCCATTGTGTCCCCCCTGTTTGCATGGGAGGCATTTGCTTTTTGTTAAAAGAAGGACATGGCTGTTGCAGGTAAAACACGTAAGCGTTACTTGTGGTGGTGTTTGTAAGTATCAATTACCACCTCCATGACTACTACTCATTCCAGACCTATGAAAAGATAGACAGGTTTGCTTTGAGGAGAAGGATCCCATGCTGTAAGGGATGCAAAATATAAGATTGACGTGTCTTTAGCACATGTCACTCAGGTGCTTCAGTCACCTTGTGTGCGGATGGAAGATATTGAATTCTTCTTTTTACAGTTAAAGTCAGTCCTTGAGGAGCCATCAAAACCTAAAGTGTTAAAGACAAATCTTACATAAGGAGCTGGAAGGTAAATCACTCTGTGTGTTATTTAACTATACATTGGACGATAAGCCTTGATCTATGCTGTAGGGAGCTAGGCTTTCAGGGCTGGTTAAAGAGGAAATAATAAATAGCATGTTTATCCTGGGAAGGATAATGCTGACAAAGGACATTTGTTTAAGTTCTCACTTCAGCTTCTGCTATTCTCCATGGCTAAGGGCATCCTTTATTCAGGTCTTAAATGACTTTGTTTTTCATGAATTCTTTTTTCTTGTTCAAAGGGGCTGTGGAGGTTCTATTTCAGTCGGTCTGATTGTCCAGAAATTCTTTCCTGGCTCTGCTTAGCCTAACGGCTGACCTTCAGCCACTCCTGTCATAGAATCACAGGCTGGTTTGGGTTGGAAGGGACCGTAAAGCTCATCCAGTTCCAGCCCCCTGCCACAGGCAGGGACACACCTTCCACTAGACCAGGTTGCTCCAAGCCCCATCCAACCTGGCCTTGAGCAATGCCAGGGATGGGGCAGCCACAGCTTCTCTGAGCAACCTGTGCCAGTGTCTCACTGCCCTCACAGGAGAGAACTTCTTAATGTCTAATCTAAATCTCCCCTCCGCCAGTTTAAAGCCACTCTCCGTTGTCCTGTCACTACAGGTCCTTGTCCAAAGTTCCTCTCCAGGTTTCTTGTCAGCCCCTTTAGGCACTGGAAGCTGCTCTAAGATCTCCCTGGAGCCTTCTCTTCTCCAGGCTGAACAAGCCCAGCTCTCTCAGCCTGTCTCCAGAGCAGAGGTGCTAATGTTGCTTTGCATCTGTCTCCCCACCTGAGATGTTTATGTTACCATAATATGTAATGCATTATGTTCTACGACAGTCTGAGTGCTTCCAGACTGAAGGAAGAGACTTGCATACAAAGGCAAAAACACTCCATATATAGTTGTTGCTGTTATTTATTATTTACACTTCAGTGAAAAAGTACCTTCAGCATATATTTGATCAAGTTATCCCACACTCCCTGGAATTCAATGAGTGCCTCTCATGTGCTTGTAAAGGCACAACTTGTCCTTCAGACAGATAAAACTTTTAACAAGGCCACAGCCGTGCAGCTGTCTCTCAGCATGGCTCATCACAGTAATGAGTGCCATCAGCCCCAGGCACTCATTAATTTCCCTCGGGTTTCCTTCCAGGTAGGTGTTTCCTTTCAGTGTCTCCCTTTCATTTCAGCATCAGCACAACTTTCATCCACTACTCACCTGCCACCAGGTAAAAGGGAGAACTTCCTATCTCTAGTTCATCCACAAAATACATTGATGTATATTGCATGTCCTTTTAATGGACATGGTTATTGTGTGTTAAGGGTTGTTAATCACAGAATCATGGAATGGCTTGTGTTGGAAAGGACCTTAAGGTCATGCAGTTCCAAACCCCTGCCATGGGCAAGGACACCTTCCACTAGACCAGGTTGCCCCAAGCCCGTTCCAACCCGGCCTTGAACACTGCCAGGGATGGGGCAGCCACAGCTTCTCTGGGCAACCTGTGCCAGTGTCTCACCACTCTCCAGGAGAGAACTTTCTCCTAATGTCTAAACTGAATCTCATCTCTGTCAGTTTAAAGCTGTTCTCTCTTGTCCTGTCCTTGCAGGCCCTTATAAAAAGTCCCTCTCAGGTTTCTTGTCAGCCCTCTAATGAAACATCTCTACTGTAGCTGAATCAAACCCTGCTATAGGTTATGTGTAAAAATACTACGCAACCTACTGGCTCTTACTGGGCAATCACAATTAATTTGGAACTTACGATTTGATAGGTATCTACTTCCTAAAACATCTATTTGGGAATCACTTTAGCATAATGTCATTAGCATGGATTCTGCCCATAATTTTCCTGCATTGTTTGTTTTTTTCAGAGACTTAGTCTTAAATCCCAAATCAAATAATGACAGTTTTCTTCAAAGGTATTTGTTAGATCTGAAATAGCCCCTGAGCTGTGGTCCCCAAAGATACTGAGGTGCTGTATTCACTGATTTCAGAGTGCTGAAATAACGAAGTCTTACGGGCTCTAACACTTTCTGTGCCTTTCTTACCTTCATGATAAGCTTGTATAAACTCCTGCTTTGGTATTATGTTTATTTTTGCATGGCCAAGGTGTGGTCTGAATGCCTTTTGTTCATCACTGCATCATAAAGATCAATACTTACTTGTGGGAGGATGTTTTCCCCAAAGTCCTTTTCCTCTTGGGAAAGAAACTCAGCAGAAGATGACAGTTTCTTGTGTGAAATGGGATGGAGGAGGATAAATCAAAGCACTCCTTTGCTGCCCATTCAGCAGGAAGAAGATGATTATCAAAAATCCAAGCAGACAAAGTCTACCAAGTAATTACTCAAAGCTACCTTACAAAGACACCACAGCTTCTTGTTTCTTTCACTGGTGGGAGGTTGAGCTGTATGAGGTGTTCAGCAAGGCCATTATGATTTTGCATTTCAGTGGAACTCCTGCACGTTTTTTTGCTAGTTTTTGGTGTGTCTTGTTTTATGGACTGGCTTTCCAAGAGCTCTTTAGTCCTTTCCTGATGCAGGGTGCCTGGTTCGCCCCAAGAACATGATTTATTTTCACTGTGCTGGCAGAGTAGTTTGTAAACCATTGAGTTAAATCAACTTCGTTTGTCTGCACCACCTTGGCTAGTGCACTGGGAGCAGGATAGCTCGAATGAAAACTTTTCTATAGGGTTTTTATTTTACATCAGAGTTCAGCTTTGTTCTTTTTTTTTTTTTTTTTCATACAAACTGCATCCTCAGTCCCTTTAGAGAGTTTGGATGACGGTGTCAACTGAATAATACCAGTTTAAATCAGAAATAAACTCTTGGAAAAAAAACACCAGTATATTCTGCTGTTTGATTATTTGAAGCCTTGCAGACTAAGGTATGCATTTCCAAGCCTGAATTGGCGTGCCTAGGTATGTCTGTGGTCAGGGTGCTACAAGTTGGCTCCTACAAGGATGTGACCTGATTTTTTTTTGCCCCAAAAGCTGTGTGTTTGACCACACTGCAGCTTGTGACTGCCCATCACAACAGCATGGCAGCTGCCTTCTTCAGTTGCTTGAAATCTGCTTCTAAGATGCCTGAGTTTTAGACATCAGGGATGGAAAACAGGCTCCAGATCTGCCAACTGAACACTGGAAGGTGGAGCTACGGAGGAGATGTGCTCCAAATGAACAGGCTTACCACTTTGGTCACCAAACCATGCGGAAAGGTGCAGTTGCATGTAATTGCGGTGATCCCAACAATCTGTATCCTACCTGCCTTGCTTCTGCAATTGCTTGAGCCTTTCTCTCTTGCCTTTTTTTTCTGTTTTTTTTCCTTTAACTGTTCAACTTTGCTCTCTTCCTCCTCTTGGCTGCTGCTGCCTCCTGCTTGCACCACACAAGCACGCAGCCCGCTCGAGAGCTCCGTGCCCTGCCTCGCAACCCGCACAGCGGATGATGGAATCCGGGTGCAGCGCAGCCCCAGCGTGGGATGGCTCAGTAAGTCCTGGGTGAGGGTGAGGGCACACTGGTGGGATGGGGGGGATGTGAGGAAGAGGAAGGGGTAACCCACACCAGCCGCCCACCTAACGCTTGCTGCTGCATTAACAGTGTTGCATATGGGTTGGTTGCTGCTCTGTCTGTTATCCCCACTGTCCTCTCCCTCTGTTTCACTCTGGTTTGCCTTTATTCCTTCAGCTGGGATGGAATGGGTAGGTCAGCCTCACTCGCCTTCAGATAGTGGTCTTCTTTCTAAGTCATGAAGGGGCATTTCATTCATCTATTGGACTATCCTTTGGGTCTTCCAAGTGCTTCAGGAATTTTGCCACCAGTGCAGTATTATAAATGCAATGAGCTTAAATGTTTTAAATTCCATATAAATGAAATGCAAAACCAGGTTCCCTGATCATTGAATCATATCTTAGAATGGTTTGTGTTTGAAGGGACCTTGAAGCTCATCCAGGTCCAACCCCCTGCCATGGTCAGGGACAACTTTCACTAGACCAGGTTGCTCTAAGCCCCATTCAACCTCGCCTTGGACACTGCCAGGGATGGAGCTTAATAACATGGAGAGGTTTGGACTGTCTGCCTCACTGTTTCTACCAGTACATGACCAAGCTCAGCCAAGGAGGGCCTCACATCATCTTTGCCAGAGAGACAGTAATGTAAACTAGGAAAAAAATTGGGAAATTGTCCTTCATTAGCAAACTGCATAAGGATGAGCATTGCATGCTGAAGTCTGGATGAGCTCTCGGCAGCAGAAACTTTTTACTCCATTGATTTGTTCAGGGTTCTTGGAGTCTTCGTCTCCCATATTTCTTCTCAGTTCAGAGAAGCTGCCCACCCAAGGACTCCCCGAGTTTTTCAGGTTGTTTTTCCCTTTCTCTCAGATATCTCTCATATGTCAAATTGCTAGTTGTCCCCCAGAATCTGAGACTGCCTTGGGTCACTGTAACCTCCAAATGGTGGAGTCTGCTGTAGAGGGTTGCTCTAATGAGAAGGCTTGTTCTAATGAGCAGGCTTGCTGTAAAAACATAACAAAAAAGGAGTGTTGGATATGTCCTTCCTGGCTTTGGATCTTCAGAGGTCCACAACCATTAGGAACCTGAGTCAGAAGGGATTTAGGCTGCACAGGTTAGGGCCGTGGTGTTCACAAAGCCAGTGTTCCGCATGTTGCATCTTGCATCTCTAGCAGCATTTTTCTGGCTTGGCAATCAAGATAAATTCAAGGATTTGGGGAACACATCTAAATGCAGGCTGGGCTGCTGTGAAGTTCCTTAGGTCAGCAAGGCTGGGAAGAGGTGAAGCTTGTGGTTTCCTGTCTGTGTTCTAGAGATCATCAGTCAGTGCTGTGTGGGACTAGTCTGAACTTGAGGACCTTGCACGTCATCTTAAAAAGATGATACGCACAACACCAAACTTCAGGGGAGAACAGTCATCTTATATGCTCAAGAGGTTTTGGCTGTCAGCCCTAAGTGTAGAATTTCTTGCAAGGAGATGGAGATACAAATCATTTCAGCTTTTGAGAGCCCTATTTAAATTGGGATTATGAGACGCTTTCTACCTCCAGAGAACAAGGAGTACCTTGTAAAGTTATGGTGCTCAGATCTCTTCATGCAAGGCCAGTCTGGCAATGGAAAAAGGGAGTGAACAAGGTCTGTGCATTGTGCCAAGAAGCTGGAGCTATGACCAGCATGCTCACAGCTCTGTGTGGGGATAGCTCTCAGCCGAGTGTGTGTGCAAGCATGCTTTCTTCTCAGGCTCAGGTCCTCCTTCTTTCTAGGGGCTCTGTCACTAACTGAAATAGAGAAAATATCAAAGCAGCACTGAATTTACAGTGAGGGATTTATGGGATACCCCCCATCCAAAACTCTCTAACTGTGACAAAAACGTGTTTCTCAAGAACCTTCTCCCCAGAGGTTCGTACTTCTTGTCATGCAGGGTTTTGCCTGATGACCCTCACTGGAGGCTCTGTGCGTTGTCCTTGTTCAGCAGGTAATGGTACTGCTGTTGTAGCTGTGATGGTTTTAGAGTACCATCAAGGTCATGTTTGTAGGGAAGTGTGGTGTTTATGAAATCAAAGGCTAAAACTGGAAAAGACAGACAAGTTTTGGCACATGGGTCTGTCCAGGTCTGGAATAAATGTGCGGTGCCTCAAGAAGAGCTGCTGTAAGTTTGATGGGGTTGTGTTGATCACAATGCAGGTAGGAGGCTGCTAGCAAGAGGTGGTGGTCATTAGCTGCTTCCTCTAGGAAGAAGGGTAATTATATCCTAGAAACATCCAGCCTTGAACATCTAATAAACAAAGCAAATAAATGTTGTAATCTGGAAGAAATACCAGCTGAATCCTGTGAGTCCTGATTTTAGTCTGTTTATTCCAGAACTGGACCTAGAAATTTGGAAAACCATCAAAGCAGTCTGAAGAAAATGAAGGGATACCTTCAGCAGATGCCTTTCTCTACAGCTAGATAATGTAGATCTTCGTAATAAAATGCATTGAAACAGCATTAAACAACTATAAAATAGAATCATTAGTGTTTTCTGCCCTTGCTCAAAGCTTTATGGAAGCCACACTTAGTTCCTTCTTAGTCATTTGCTACGCCAAGACTCAGAGTTCCTATGGTAAGGCTTGAACAAGTGGAAATCCATCTCTGCCATTCTGTCTCCATCCCATGAGCTGGCCTGGGTGGGATAGCAAGGGTGGGACACCCAGCTTTGAGAGCAGCCCTCCAGTATTCACAGGCCAATGAACCCGTCCAGATTGGTGTAACTCTAGCAGAGATGTTTAATTTCTCACACTCAGTAGCCCACAGGTGATAGAAACTGACAGGAACTTTGCTTTGCCTGACCAAGCTGCATGACACCAGTTATCCAAGTGCTGCTCTGATTCTTTATTTGGTATTACTGGCTCAGATTTGCAAAGCAGCCATGTGCATCTCTGCATCGAGTTTCAATCTTTCCTTTTCATTTATGGGTACATGATAAACTTGTCAAAGATTTCCCAGAATTGGCAGTGCAACCTTTAAAAGCCGGGTAAATAGAGCATACAAGACAAAGGAGCCCTGGGTTTCAATAATGGGCTTCAGGATTATGATAACCTGGGTTGATTTTGTGTGGTTTGGTTTTTTTTGGGGGGGTCCAGCTTTGCCTTTTACCAAATAGAAATACTTACTAAAAAATAGAAATACTTATTGAATATTCGTATCAAGGAGGGTGTTATGAACAAAGTAATGTCTTCACCATGTAGCAGATACCACATACGTGAGCAAGTTTGATTACTTCTTTCTTGTTTTTTTGGTGTGTTTATCTCCTACCTACAGATTCCTATCAAGCATTCAATCAGAATTTGTAGACATTTCTAAGTCTGGCTTGCTAATAATTAATTAGGAGGACGGTTACTAATATATGTAGCCCTAACCAGTTTTCCAAGTGACATTCCTCACTCTATGAGTAAACATATTGGTCAAAACTTTGTAGAGATAGGTAGAGACTGCTGGCTTGTATTAACAGCAAGAGGAAAAGCTGGGGATCCCCTTTCTGGAATATCTAATTTATTTAATTGTGCTTGGCTTCTGCTGTGTTGCGGTTGCTGGATGTGGCAGTAACACGCAGCAGGTATATCGTGATTCCAAGTAGCTCATAAGAAAGAATGCTTTAAGTCTGTCTCTACAAATGCTGAGTATATTGTAAAGAAAACCCAACTCCGAGAGTCCAGATCTTTTTCTTCCCACTCCTTGTTTTGGACCTTCATTTCGATGTGAATATCAAAGCTGAAGTTTAATCAATATTATCTCAAAACATACCCAAAGTTGGGAAACACCTCAAGGCCATTTCTTCTTGAGTACTTTCTTTCTTCCCAGGTTATGCTCACGGTCAGAATCTCTGTGAGAACAGCTCCTGTTGCTGTGCTTCTGGTTCCTGTGAGCTTGAGTGGGAAATGGGAAAATTGCAGAGTAATTAAAAAAGTGCATAGTGACCACTGTGGTTTATGGCTCTGTATCCGTCCCTAAAGCATCATTATCAGCATCATTATCATGAAATTATTTTTATTCTTGTACAGTTATGGCCATTTTGGGGTTTCTCCAGTTTTGACTGTGGGATTGTAAAACTGAATTCTGAAATCACAGGACACTTTTACCAGTTCTTTAGAACTGTTTCCGTGTGTTCTGCTAGCAGTATCTGAGAGCACAAGAATGAGTAGGATAAGTTAGTCCATAAGGGAGTAAGCAGCTCCTTACTAGCTGTTCTGCAGTGCTTGAATGCCGGTGTGTCAGGTTTACAGGCAAGCAAGTTGATCTTTGAAGAAGGAATGTTGCTGAGCTACTTCAGCTCCTTGTCTCTGGGGTGTGTTCATCTCTCTGGGTTATCTGGCATCAGGAGGTGGTGACTTTTGGCCTGTCAGTGTGGTTCACACGTTGTTTTAACCAGTAAGGTTCATGAGCTTACTTGAAGAGAGGTAGATTTTTGGTGTGAGCTGTTCCAAAGGACCAAGAACTGCCAAGACACCCTCACCATTGAGTCTGGAATGATAAGGAATGGAGAGCAGATGCCATCTACATAGGCGAGCTGAGGTGATGGATTTGTAGGTCAGAGTACCATAAGAATGCTAGCTTGGTGGACAGACATCTTTGTGAGTGAGTCTTGGATGACCTAGCAGCATCAGTGTCAGCAGCTGGTTGCTGCTTTGCTGCTTCTTCCACAGGCAGGGATTATGGAAAATCCGTAAACTCTTTTGCTGTTCCAAAGAGTCATGGGAACGTGCAAGTCAAAAATCACAATGGGTTACCATCTTGATCTCCCATGTGCCACGTAAAGTCACAGAAAGCAGCCTCTCAGGGTCTTAAATTCCCCAAATCAACCTCCATGGTGCAAGGAAAGGTGTTGCTGTAGCCTGAGCCTCTGTTCTCCTGACCAGATTGAAATAGGTGCTTTAATTGGTGTTGACATTGTTCTTACAGGCAGCCCAGCCATGGCTCACAGAAACCTGACTTCCACCAGTCTGAATGACATCTCTGACAAGCCTGAGAAGGATCAGGTAAGCTTCAGATGCAGCCTTCACATAGTGATGTGTATTGGTTAGGAGCTGAATGTGGGGCAAAGAGACTCTGTACCATGAACCTGAAGCAGAAGAGGGTGAACAAGGTGAGTTGAGTATTTCCAAGTCCTGTGACTGGATCTTCCACTTTTTAAGCACCAGCCCTTGAAAACAGCAGGTTAAACTTGGAAGGCCTGAAGCAAGTGATTTACATGGCATCTTGCTGATACCCACGAGAAAGGAGGGAAAATAGCCAGATAGTGATGTATTTTAGATCCTCTTCCTGCTGAGAAGAGAGTCTTCAGAGGTTACAGCAAGGCTCTGCAAAGGTCCAGCAGCACTCCAGGAGAGCTAAGGAGTCTGAGGGGTGAGATTGAGTTTATTTCAGCTCTTAGAAAACTGGTGCCTGAATGAGGTCTCTGTGCAAATTTCAAGAAAACCTTTGTCTGGGTTCAAAAAGTGGGTTATTCTCAAAGAGTGGCTGTTTCTTTTGGAGAATCTCTTTTTTTTCCACTTGTCTTTCAGCTTTCTGTGGTCCCATATTTATTCTGAATGCAAATGAGAGTTACTTTGGGAAATTATTTAGGTACACATTAGTGCTGGCCAGCTGAGAATGACTCTAATCCTTCAAATGGTGGCTGGTTGCAATCTTCTCTAAGTGCCTTACAGGGACATGGCAACAAAATCAATACAGAAAAGTGAGTTAAGAGTAATTAAATATTTGAAAAATAAATATATGTATATAAATAGATATATTTCCATCAAAAGAGAAGGGGGCAATGTGTGTTGCATTCAGAGTTGTAGCATAAATCTGTATTAGTTAGTTAGTTGGTTGTGCAAAATACACATTTCCTTTAAGATATGAAGCCAGATCTGGGGAAGGAATAGGATGGTAAAATAGCTTTTTTTTTTTTTTTCCATTGGAAAGCTTGCTATATTTAATATTTCTATATTTTATATTTTTAATCCCATTATAATTGGGGTCTTATAGTTAGACTAACAGAAAACTGGGTCTGAATCTTGCAGCAGGGTTTGTAGTGCAAACCCTCCCAGTTGCCCCTCCTGCTGAAATGTCTCTGGACACAGTAGAACTGGATATAAAAATAGCTGGTTTAGTAGTACTAATAGTGAAACCTGTTAATAAATCCAGTTTGGAAGTGTGCTCCAAAGTTTTTTACTTCAAATGTAGATAATGCCTGATTGTTTGTAGTGAAAACCATTGCTTGAAAACTAACTGCTTCCAAAACCTAGTTAATTAGCCCATGTCCTGTTGATGAACTTTGCACAATAGAACCCTTGTACTGTGCGCCTTTCAAAGCTGGCCTGAGAAATCACCTTAGATCTCAGTTTTTGTTACTGATTGACTGAAACTCCTGCCTTGATAAAGTTTGTGAAACTGTGGGGATGCCTGGCAACTTTCATGAGCAGAACTTAGCATGCCACACAGAAGGCAAGGGAATAATCCATCGTGTTACAACAGGAGCTGGAAAGAGAACAGTTTTTCTTTCCCTGACAGCAGAGTGACTGGCTTTCGTTATTTCGGTATCCCATCTGGAAGCTTGACAGTTAATGAGGCCATGCAGTGGGGTATGAGTCTGCTGGAGAAAGAGGCTATCCCAGTTTTTATTTATGTATTTGTGTGTGTATAAGAGCTGCGACAGGCTGAAGTCGGTTTAGAACAGTTGCTTGGAGCCAGACTGGGAACCTAAGCTCTTTCATCGGTCACAGTTTTGGCAAAGATAAAGGGGAGCGGTGTATGCCTGTGTCTTAAAGGAAGAAAGGCTTTGAACAAACTTCCATGTGCCTTCAATAACTTTCCTGCCTACGTTAATTTTCAGTTCTGCAGTCTTTATGCTAATTGGAACCCTAATGCTTATTGGAATTTTGCAATTAGCAGCATGGCAATATTATAGTTAGAATACTCCTTTAAGCTGTGTTTCATTAGCTTCTTAATGAGCAGAAAGACACCTAAGTGTATCTTACACCTAAGGAAATTAGAGGCTCTGGACGCACTCTCTTCATGCTGTGAAATGTGCTCCTCAGAAGATTTGACCCTTGTATTTCTTTTTCTGTATCTCTTTGTGGAGCAGTGCTGTTGGCCAGTGTTTTGTAGTTTCAGCATGACCTCAAGCCCTCTCTTTTTTAGTTAGGCAGGGCGGGATTTGTGGTTGTCACCCACATGACAATGTGGAGAGGACCCAAGACCATGCCGCAGGACAGCTCTTGCTCTGTACACTCATCGAGCTGGAAATAGCTTTAATGTTTTGAAGCAGCAATATTCTTCAATACTTCCAGCCTACCTGGGAAAGTCTTCTTACCCAACTATGAGCCTTCAGCCCCAGTGATATTGTACTTTGCCCATGCCGAGATGATCTCTTCCATGCTTTTGGAAAAAGACCAGGCAGGTCCTGGGCATCCACCTGCAGCTTCCCTGCTCTTTCCCCTTGATGTTGTAAAGTCCAAGCTGAAAACTGATGTCTTCCATTGTATAACCCTGGTAATTCTTTGCTTGGGATCATTCTCTGTGGAGCCTAACCCAGGAGCAGATCTCTTGGCATACTGCAGCTGCCTCACCACTAGTGAATACTGATTTATTTCCATTCAGTTCCGTGTTTACAACAACCAGTGGTTTCCAAGGATAGCCTTTGAGGTTAGAGGCAACAAAACAAGCTGGGAGAAGGTCAGAAGAGGACACCCTGAGAGAAGGAATGCTCTGTTCAGAAGTGTGGGATATGCTGGGGTGCTATCTAATGCACTTTTGGCCATTTCTGTCTTGTCCTGGAGCTGGCTTGTTACTGGCAGCAGTGTTTTGAGTGTGGTGACCTGGGCCAGGTTTCTTTGGGATGGATTGGCTTGTGGCTGGTGTTTTTTAGATAACCCCATTACAGAGCAGTAAGCAGCTGGGACCTCAGCTACAAAGGCAAAACCCCAGTTTGACCCCTTCAAACCCAGGCACTCCTTTGAGGTGCGTGCCTGTTGTGGAGCCTGGTCTCCTGAGCTCATTTTTCAGTGCCTGTAGAGAGCTGGAATTGTGGAGTCATTCAGGTTTCAGGTGGGCTGGTTGCCTCTTGGACAGCTGCCTCACTAGCTGCAGAATAAACCCTGCTAACACAGACAGCTCTGCGACGAGGCTTAAGCTAGGATAGATGCCTTTCTGCTTTCATACGTCTGTGCCATGGCAGCACTTGCGTGAGGTGGGTGCATCTGTACAGCACCCACCAATTTAAAACTGCTTGGGATCTATCCAAGTGCATGGCAATGAAGCGTACCAGAGAGCACTGGTCAGGCTTAGGTTTTTCCTGAAGATCCATCAGGGAATCCTCTTGGAAGATGCACTCCCTGAGATTTGCAAGTACCTGTTATGTCCAGAGAAATCAGAAAAGATGCTGGTGTTCAAAGGTGACTGCTTGATGGAGGTAGTGGCAGTTGGATTGGCCTCCTCCAGGAACAAAGGGACCCTTTAGTTATCAAGAGAAGTGAGAGAGAACAAGAAACCTTGGCTTTTCTTCCAGAGGATCCAGTGACTGAATCTTCTGTATAACAAGGAGCTGGGCTTCACTTTGCTCTGGGAATGCTGAACCTGGTTAAACATCCCATTCAGCTCAGTGGCTTTCTTACAAAGCTGACTTAGAACTGAGCTTAAAGGACAGTATTGCAGTAGTCCCAAGACACACTGGCATGAGTACAGCCAGTGGTAATAAGAAGAGATACAGCTTTATTAAAATCATGGTAGCTCTCAGCTCTCTTTACTGTATTAAGCATTGTGAGGTTGGTTCCTTCCCTTAGGGAAGGGGTGGTTTTATGCTTCCTTTGGATTTACTTGGCTTTTGATTTTGTTTTGTTTCATTTCTCTCATACGTTTGCCTTCTTAATACACTTTCCAGAGTTAATCTTCTTACTGGGCAACCATTAAGCTCTTTCATGAAGAAAATGAACTTAGGAAAAGGCTGGAGGCAAGGAAGGACAAAGGACGCAGGGGCTCTTTCCAAAGGACCAGCTGAAAATGTGCTGCCCATTTCATCACTGCCAGGGCTAAGAGCCATCAGCTGGAGAGGAAGAGGCTCAATGACTGAAAGACAAGGAAGGAGCACAGACATGCAGGCTGTACTCATGGACTGGGCTTTCGAAAAGGTTCTCCATTGGCCATGCTCTCTACATATGACTAGCCCTTGCATTAGTAATTTTTGACAGTTTTTACATATAGATATTCTGTGTGTGTATATATATATATCTATATATATATATCTGTTCCAGACTGGTGAGGCACTGGCACAGGTTACCCAGAGAAGCTGCGGCTGCCCCATCCCTGACAGTGTTCAAGGCCAGGCTGGATGGGGCTTGGAGCAACCTGGTCTAGTGGAAGGTGTCCCTTCCCGTGGCAGGGGATTGGAACTGGATGAGCTTTGAGGTCTGTTGAAACTCAAACAATTAATTGGCTTTGTGTAATTCTCCTCCTTATATTTGAGACTCGTGAAATAGTTTGCCATCCGAATAAGTCTGTGTGAAATCAGAAAATGATTTAGAAATCTGAAAGTAATGAAGACCTGGGTTAATGGCAAGGTTGTAATGTCTGCCGAATTAAAAGTCTCATGTTGCTCTTTCTCCCCTTTAATTTGTGGAAAGCAAATGATTGTCAAGATGAAATAAGAGGAAGGGTCAATTACCAAAACACAGACTGCAAAGATCTTTAACCGTGGATTACTCATTGCTAAGTTTCCATCAGTAATATTGATTGGGATGCGATTGATGTGCCTGTGACAGACAAAAGGCAGTGCCGTCTTCCTTGATGTTGTAGAGCAGCTGCTTGTAGCAGGATGATCGTCATGGCTTGTGGTCTGTGGAAAGGGAAAGTGATATGACAGTGGTTTACTGTTGCTTTTGATAGTGCAGAGTTCGTTATGGGCAGTGGCAGCATGGTGTGTGAACACCAGAGCCTTACCAAAGCAGCTGTGCTGTTGCCATATTGTTTGCCTGCACAGGACAGATTATTACAGAGAGCT